TTCATTCAAACAAATAAAAAACATTCATAGTACAAAACGCCATTTTAGCATAAGAAAATTGTTTCTTTTTTTTTTTTTAAAAAAAAAGGACAGGTCAACAAAACGGCTCGCAGGCCGGAAAGAAGCTATTTTCCAAGAAAAGGGTCAGAGGTCAAATCTACAACGGCCGGGTCTGAAGGGTTAATCTCCGTCTCGGCATCCTTGACGGCCTCCCCATCAACACCCTGGTCGGCTCCGCTCTTACCCTCGGCTGCACCGGAGGTTTCGGCCTTATGATCGTTTGCACCCCGCAATATCCGAGAGGGGTCGGCCTCATCAGCGAAATCTCTTGTCGGCAGCAAGAAGGATTTATAGCCGGACAGGACTTCGCCCAGCTTCAGACGCATCTCGTCGGGAGGCGTCGCACCAAAGTTGGCAAAGCCAACGATCTCATCATCAGTCCAGCCCCTCTGACGACAAACCAACACGGCCTCTTCCTCGTCTACCTCACACACCAGCCCTTCAAACTCGGCATCCAACCTATGCTTGGAGATCTTCACTCGCATTATTCGCGAAAGTCCTCCAAGGTGAGCAGACCGGAATCGAGTCGCTGGAAGAGCCAGAAGAGGTTATAGCCGACCCTGGAGTCCATGTCGGCCATTATATCTTTGCTGAACAGCTCCTGGATCTCCGGGTACGTCGGCAGACGAAGTGGGATGCGGAAGCGGCCGTCCTCCGAACCCCCTCAGCGGCATGCGCCTCGAGCTCGGTAGTATGCGCCTCGAGCTGCTTCTGGAGGCTGACAACGTGAGCCTGAAGCTTCGAGCTTGGCCACATGCCGGTCTACCTCCTCACTCAGCGCCTTGGCGTGCTGCTCCTCCAGCTCGAACTCCTTAGCAGCCTAGGCCGCCTTCTCCTTCCTCAGCTCCTCAGCCATCCTGGCCGCCACCCGAGAAGCCTCAAGCTCCCTCTCCCCGGCCTTCTTCGCCTCGGCTTCTGCCATCACGAGGCGGTTCTCCAGCTCTGATGTCCGCATCGCCTTGGTGTTCAGAGAAGCGATCTTTCTGCGACAGAGCTCGTGGTCGGCTTCCAACTTCCGGTGGTCGGCCAGGGTCTTTTGCGACCGATCGACAGCTAGAATGAGCTCGACCAGAGCCCGAGAAACGGTTCCCGCTGCATGCTGGATAAGCGAGGGGGTGGAGAGCTGAGAAACACCGGCTTGGGCGGTCGGCGTCCAAGCGACAAGAGGGAGCCGAGCTACCCGCAGCACCTCCTCGGGCACTCCGAACTCGTTGGGGAGGGGGACCCTCGCGAGCCGGGCGAATATCGTAGGCACATATTAGCTGATGCCGACCTTGAGCTCGCTTAAAATGTCGTTGAGCGCTCCGGGCAGGGGAAAACGAAGGCCCAAGTGGATGCTATGGCGATACACCACAATGCAGCCCGGCGACGGACAATGGATCCGCTCCCGGGGGGTAAGGAGCAAATATTCAGACCCCAGGACCAAAATTGTACTTCCCCCTCAACTAGGCTAAGTCGGCGTCATCCAAGACCGACGCCGTGTTCCAGGCCGCCGCTTGGCTCGGTGTCGCCTAAACTCGCTCAGGCGGCGCCAGAACCCGGGAGGAGGTACCGTCGCGGCTTCGAGGGCGGCATCAGTAGCCGCGTCACTCAATCCCATGGGAACGCGTTCCCGACCTCCGATGTCGCCCCGGAGAGTCTCATCAACCAAATCTTGATCGACGTCAGAGTCCGAATCCAAGGAGTTGACGTCCACAGGGTTCAGATCGGCAGCGGTCGATCGGTATAGGTCGGTGCCTTCGCCCTCGCACAACGGAGTCGGAGGAGGGCGAGACTCGTCGTCGCCAGAAGCGGTCTCGGCCGTCGAGAAGTCCGACCGGACCACAGAGATAAGAATCGCCGCGAAAACGGTGTCCGCGACTGAAGAGGGCGAATGGGAAGTCAACTTCTCGTCAACCGCCGTATAACCAGAAGAGCTAATGTTTCCGCCGGGGAAATCGATGCCGGCGGCGAATTTCGAAAGTGAAGACATCGCGAAAGGCAAGAATCGAAAAAGAAGACGACGAAATTAATGAGAGGGATCGAGAAATTACCCTATGGATTTGTCGGAAGAGGCTCGAGAAGAACTTGCGCTGAGATCACAGAGCTCGAAAAGTGCGAAAGTGAAAGTTCCAGACGCCCACCGAGGTCTGGGATAAATAGGTTCATTTGCCCAATGAGACACGGACATGTGTGCAAGCGGATAAATTTGAAATTCAAAAAACGAAGCGTCTGAGAGAAGCTAACCGTTGCACCACTTAAAAATACATGGTCGGGGAGCTGCCACGTGTCCCACACGTGCGATGACAATTAAGGCGTGTCTTTTCGACTACCTCTGATGCGCGTTGACAAGTATGGAGGAAGTACCGACCTCGTGAGCGAACCAGACACGACCCTAGCGAACCCGACTCAGATCTCGGTAATTAGCGACAACCTCGGAAGAGGCACGGCAGACCTCACCCAAGCTCGGGGGCCTGTATGTTGATATCCGAGTCGGGCTCATCTAAATGTCACGATCTGAAAGGTTGTGAACCGGGCTTAATCGACCGGACTGACGGGCCGGTTGCCGAGTTAATTCTGAGGTGCCGAGTCGAGCATAGGTCAAAGTCAAGAGGGGACGGCGGTCAGCGTTTCCCCGAGGTCGGCACCTCTGCGTCCTCATTGAGGAGCCGGCTTGGTCAAGTGTCGTGTGGAGATGGGATCCGGAATACTGGAAGATGGATCGATGTCTGGGCCCGACCTGGGGTGTTATCAGATCGGCATTCGTAAGGGTTAAGGATCCAAGAAAGCAGAAATAAAGCCACTTGTCAATCAATGATTACCGATGGGACATCCCAGACTAGCCTGCAGATCTATGATTTCTAGCCCGGCCAAGGAGCATGTCCGCATTTAATGCAGCCCACACCAGCATTAAATGCGATGCAGGTAATGATTGGGAGATCCACAAATCACTCCCAATCAGTCAGAGAAACGCCGGCCTGTCTTGCCGAGTTACTGTGCGACAAGACCCATGAACAGTATCTGAATAGTGTCGCATTTATGGACCCTATAAATAGAAGCTTTGAGCATTTATTTTGGGTTGTTGAATCCTCAACTGTCTCTCTACTTTCTCTCTCTAAGCTTGTAAGCAACCCGAGTAAGAATTTGTAAGGATATCGCAAGTGCCGACCTCGTACGAGAGGCCGACCTCGTGATCGATTAATAAAATCGTAATTAAACCGTATTTCCTTACTTTTCCCCTATTTCGTATTCCTTTTCCTATTTCTGTAACCGTTGATCGAAAATGTCCATCAACAAGGGAGAATAAAACAACATGTCGTGGAGTAATGCCCACATTCATGACAACGTGAACAAAATGATGATTTCCAGCACTAAAAGAAGGCCCAGTCGATGATATACGGATTATCTTTGGTCGTCTGGCTTGTTTTAGTCACAACACGATGCAAAAATAATTTTTGGGAAAACTTTTTTAGGTAATCAATGTCATATTTATACAAATAAATTTTGAAACCGTTTATGGGATACTACAACCGAGTTATGGGATTCCAGAAATGAACGATTTCAAGAAACGGATTCTGGAATCCTATAAACTGTGTCTAGGATTCCACAATTTTTCGTTTCTAGAATCTCAGAAACCATGTCTGGATCCCAAAAACAATTTCTGAAATCCCAGAAACCGTGTTTGGGATTCCAAAAAGAAACCGTAGAAACCGTTTCTGGGATCCCATAAATGAACTATTTCCGTAAACGGTTTGTGGGATCCCATAAACCGTGTATAGGATCCCACAATTGTTCGTTTCTAGAATCTCAGAAACTATGTCTAGGATCCCAAAAATGAAAGATTTCCAGAAACAATTTTTGGGATTCAGAAAATGAATGATTTCCACAAACAATTTTTTGGGATCCCATATATAGTTTCTGGGATTGAGAAATGATTTCTAGGATCTTAGACACAGTTTCTGAGATTCTAAAAACGAACAATTTTGAGATCCCATACACGGTTTCGGGATCCAAAATACAAACGATTTCTAGGATCCCATAAACTGTATGATACTGAAGAGGAAGATATATAAATGATTATTTTAAATTTAAAAACATTTTTGGCGTAGAAAATTGATAAATTATAACATACATTTAGAAGAATATGCCCGAAATGTCGACGTGATTTTACTGAAATGTTGCCGGAAACTTTTTTGAGAAATGAGAGGGAATGAGGATGTTGAAAAGATAGTAGATGAGAGCGTACAATAAAAGAAAATAAGATAGATGAGAGAGTAGATGAATAGATAGAGAGATGGAAAAAGAGAGAGAAAAGGAAAATGCTAATAGAATATTAATTTTTATTTTTAATAATAAAAATATAAAGTAAAGCTAAATGTGTCATTTTATCAACTAAAAGTCTAAAATGACTATTAATTCAATTTCTAAAAAAAATGGCTATTTTTAATCATTCTACTTGGCTAAAAAACCTAGCAAAAATGCTATTCTATATGGAGATGATCCAAGGTATGATCTAACGTCATCTGCCTTGGATTTCATTTCGAGATTGGTTTAGCTAATGATGAGTTTATCCTTTTGTGTTTAATTGTGTTGATATTTCTTTGTTCATGTAGGTTACGAACTTATGGTATGAAGTTATTTCTATTTTCAGGTTTGTTCTGGTTTTTCTGATATCTAAATCATACGATACTTGATTTGATGATTCCAGATCGTATATGATGATGCCGAATTTGATGATAGTATCAATTACAAAGTTTATTTCTTTGGTGGAATTTTGTGATGTGTAAAATTGTAAACGAACAATAATTCCTTAATATTGTTCTGAAAAGTATTTTTATTTTTTATCACCGTGTCTCTCTCACTATTCTTCTCTCAGTGAATTGAAATGTTTTCTATACATTTTCCTGATGTCGATTCTGGTGTATATGATCCATACCTTCCTAGAAAGGCAAATAAAAAAATATATCAAAGAACAAAAATCAATAAATTTAAAAACTTGGGTACAATGTTTGGTTATACACTTTACAACCGTTTTTCCTAACTTTAATTTTTTTTTTGTTCACACTATTTATCCATCAATAAAGCGCCTAAGTCTGTTCCTTGCTGCTTCTATTTCGTGATCAACATCCGATTTATCGGCCCCTAAGGGGTCCGAAACAAGCACATCTTCAGGTCGAATGAAGTGCCTTTGGTTTTGAAGCTCGACTTTAATGGCCTCCGATTTGGAGGTTTGGTTTCGATAAGCCCTCTTTTCCGGTTTGCTTCGCCTGAAAAACCCAAATGATTTTCGTGGCGGTGATGATGATTGCTCTACTTCATATTCTTGATTCAAAATAATCTGCTCAAAACAATTATTATTATAATAATTAGATAAAATTGTGTAGATGTAATTGAAATGAGAATCTGATGAAAAATATGCATATCTAATTCTTATGTATATACAGGCAAAATTATATTTTTAGTCCTGCTAGTTTAACGTCATAGCATTTTTAGTCCCAAAATTTCAATTTTTTGTCTTTTGATCCTGTAATTTAGTATTTTGATGCAAACTGAAATTGCGTTGAATTTTAGAATTATAGGACCAAATAGCAAAATGTTCAACTCTTAGGACTAAAAACGTCACTGAATCAAACTAACAGGACTAAAATTACAATTTTCCCTCTGTATATATCTATTTCAAGTATCATCAAAATAGCCTGCCATGTGAACAAACATATTTGGAATATGTGAACAAACTTGGTTATAAGTTATAGATTAGGCATTTGGAAGGGAAAAGAGTTGAGTTAAAGCTTCAACTAAACTACTTTAGGAGCCCAAAAAAACACGTGAAGGCCTCAATAACACATATAATAAAAGAAAAAGCTACATTTGCTGTATTTGGAGCTGTGCAAATCATGTGAACCTTCTTCAAACTTCAAACAGCATATGACAAAATTGACACAAAGTGGAAAAATGTACATTATGCATTAAGTTGTTGTACCTCAGGGCTAGGTTCGGTAACTCTTCCGGATTGAGAAGACACAAATTGAAGAAATTGGAGGATTTTGGTCGAACCAAGTTCTGTACAGTTGTGCCAGTAGTAAATCGCTAAATTCCATGCTCTCTCTCGAAATTCGATCAAACTTCGATCGATATTTGTTTCGTGTTTCGACACGTAAGGTCGTAAAAGAGTGTCGTAAATAACTCCTGTTCCCTGTAATTGTTTGTGTTTCGTAGACAATAAATAAAATCTCATCTGACATTACTAAAATTTGCCAAAATTTTCTACTCATGGTTAATATTAGTTAAAAAAAAAATAGAGAGAATTAGTTTTTCTTGGCTACCTACCTTAGTTTTTGGATACCACAAGTAGATGAAAAGGGCCAATTTCATCTCTCCATATATTGGTAGCCTATGAAAGATTAAATTAAATACTGTTAAACAATATGAACTAACAANAAAAAAAAAAAAAAACAGAATTTAAATTATAATAAATATGAAGCTGACAACATAAAACATTACCATGAAACAAAGACATCACCAATTTTCTCAAGTATTGTTATGACCGCCACAATAATCCTGCAAAACACACAACTACTCTTAACAAGTTGGAGATTTGTTCTTTTCTTTCTTTCTTTATGAAAGTGCAAGTCAATTTCTTGTTCCAAACAACTACAGATGAAAAAGAAAAGGAACAAGAAGAATATTATGAAGAAAAAGAAAGATGTCTTATTGTCGTTTTTTATGTAGAAAATACAAATGAACTTCTTAATTCCTTATTTAATTAGTAAAAGTCACTTCATTGAACCAATAATGCACTTGCTCCAAAGAAACATTCTTAATATCTCAAAAATGAAAACAATTGATTGATTGGTTCAAATCTTCCTTACACACGATTAATTTAATAAAAAAAAAAAATGTGAAGTACAAACTGCTCACCAATATTGACACCAAAAACGGAGTTCTGGAATTTCGACTCTGTTTTTCTCAACGGTTTTGAAACATTGAAATGCAGGATATGCGTATCCAAGCACCAATCTGCTCAATCCATAAAAAAAATATCATTAAAATTTTCGAAATGAAATAAATCATTAAATTTCCAAAAAGCAACTCAGCAAGTTATGAAAATAAAGGAAATATGANACCTTTTAATTGAAGGAAGAAGAATTGGATTATGGATGAAGTTAGAATCTCAGAAAGTGGGAACAAATATATGGAAGTTGGTTTTATGTTTGTATGAGATATGATGAGGTGCAATGAACGTGCGTGAGTGTGTGTATGAGTTTTGTATGTTTTTTTCTCTTTCTTTTTTGTATTTGTTTATATAAAAATATATAATTTAATTGTTTGTGTGTATATATAGAGAGAGGTTTTGGATTGATGGGCTTTGAAGAGAGAGGAAATGAGGGGATTTCTTGGCACGGACGCCTCCTCGTATAATTTTTGTTTTTATTATTATTTACACGTAATTTAGGTGTTAATATTATTACAATTTAAGGGCTTCAAATTTGGGTAGTCGTTTGTAACTTATTAGGGTGTTTTGGTCTTTTTAATTATAATATAATTGAATTGGTCATGAATTGGGAAGCAAAAATTTGTTCGAGAAGGCAATGTACAATATTACTCGGAGTTGACCTTGGAATTAGTATTCTTAATTATATTACTATACTAGTGCGTGGCTCGTGCGATGCACGAGAAACAATATTACGATTGTATTATAAATTAAATATATATATATATATAAAATTAATCATGATTTACCTATTATTTTTAAATTAAATCGGGTTGGACACAGTCTGGGCGGATGGACCGAGAACCGATTTATAACCAGTCTAGTTGCTTGAATAAAATATTAGCTATCGAATCTGTCAACACCAGTCGGTTTGACTGGTAGGATCGATATCGATTTTCTAAATAAATTTGGTTACATTTAAAATTATATAAAATTACATATTTAAATAAAATGGAGATTTATAAACTCTTTATCAATAGTTTAAACATTTGAATTTATAAATTGTTTAGATATTTAAGTATCACCTTTTCTTTAAATTTATTACAAAAAGTATTATATATATATATATAAATGTTTATAAATTAAAATCTGAACAGACCACAAATAATTTAATAAAATAACTTGATCTTTTCGATGAGTTATATATATTAATATGTTTATAAATTAAAATTTGAACAGAGCACAAATAATTTAATAAAATAACTTGATCGTTTCGATGACGGTCCGGTTTTGAAAATCTTATATTTCTTGTACATTAATAAAAATTATAATAAAATATTATTTAATTCAAAAAATAATTCATAAAATGATATATAAATATTTATAAATTATTAAACATGTTGTCATAAAAATATTGTTAATATGATTATTTAAAGTTTGGACTACATCACATTCAAGTAATAAAGTATTTTTAACATTAAAATTTATATTTAGGTTCAATAATCGAATTGGTCTGATCAAACAGATAGATAACTTAGTCACTTTAAGATCAATCATGTTGTGTCAATTTTTTTGACAATTTTAAATATCACCTAAAAGTAAAACAATCAACTTGGACAATACCCTAATTTAATCATCTGATTGATCCAAAGAAATTTCCTTATTTTTTTTGTGATATATTTAATTTTATGAAATAAAAATATTTTATGATTCATATAATAAATGTCTACACCAAATGATAGTACATTAAGATTATAAATTATATATATAAAGATGAATTAATTATTTTTACTTTATGAATATTAATAAAAAGTACCTCTCCTTTAAGTCGAGCATCTGTTATGACCTCTCGCGTTGAGCTCGACTTTAAGGAGAGGAAAGACCCGAAGTTAATTAGTTTTACTTTATGCATATTAATAAAAAAAATAAACATAGTAATTTTCAAAAAATTAAGATCAATTGATTGATTATGCAATTTAAAGAATATGTGTATTTTCAAGGAATAAATTTCTTCATATAAGGGATTTTGTTTCTTTAAACTATCCAAATTCATATTCATATCGGCAATTTGAAATTTTGAATTACAATAGAACATGATACTATGAATACAAAATATCTTTTAACAAACAAATCAGATTCAATTTAAGATTTATTAGTTCTAAAAATAATAAAATCATTAATTTAGGCAGTGATATGTGATACATATATCTAAGTCTATTTACATAACATTTTACCATTAAACCATTGGCAATTTAAATAAGAAAACTAAAATATTTCTGTGATTTAAACATAGAAAATAAAAATTAATTTAACAAATTACGTGGTCATTAATATAACAAATTCCAAATGATGTTGTCCGTGTTTTTAAATTAAAAATTAAAAAAATTATCATTAATAGAAAGTAATTAATACTAAGCATCTTTGACCATAGAATTGACTTGCCATTTTTAAAAAATGTTAATTCTTATTATATATATATATATATATATATATATATATATATATAGATTAATGATATGATTTTTCCCATTTTGGAAGTTAGCATTGACCCATCTTTGAGTTTTTAGTTATGCCAACATTAATAAATTGAAAAAATGTTATATTACCAATTTAATGTACAACTATGTTGACAACACAAGTTAAAATATCCACTTGATGATTTTTAATTTTTATTTTTTGGATGTTTTTCACTTGTATTGTATTAGAATATAAAAGTGTTATTTTGTATTTAACACTTCTTTGTAATAGGAATGGTAGCACTTTATGTATTTTAGCATATAGTATAAATAGGATTGTCTCTAGGGTTTCCAAACACTTTTCACATTCTCTCTTCACTTTGTACGCATACAATCTGTCTCTCTCTTTTTCCTCTTCAATAATATCCCTTTCTTTTGTTCTTGTTCTATCGATTATGATTCACAATTTGTAAATCTGATATGGTATCAGAGCGAGAAGAAGGTAAAGAATGGTGATATTGGTTTAAGTAAGAAGGCACAGACCTTTGTCTAGTGGATTTTCTTATTAAGGGGGATGAAGGGTTAGGAGAAATATGTTGTGGACCAGTAGCAATAATTGGTTGTGGAGGGATAACTGTATGTGGGGAAGGATTGGTTGGCTGTTGGGTAATATGTTGGGCAGGATTGTTGTCAAAAATAATAGGGGAAGAAGATGGAAACATGGGTTCAGTGTAAGAATTATCTGGGGTAGAATTGGGTAAATCAGGATTAGGCTTAAAGGGAAAAATATTTTCATAAAATATCACATGCCTGGAAATTAATATTTTCTTGGTTTCCAGATTGTAAAGTTTATAGCCTTTACAACCTAATGGATAACCTAGAAGTATGCATTTAGAAGACCTAGATGCAAATTTGGATCTGTGAGCTAGTAATGTGGATGAATAGCATAAACAGCCTATGACTTTTAAGTGACTGAAATCAGGCTCCTTTTTATAAAGAATAGAATAAGGAGATTTGTTTTGTAAAACAGGTGAAGGTATTCTATTTATGATATGAGCAGCCACCATAATGCAATCAATCCAGAATATGATAGGTAAGTTGGCATGAAAAAGTAATGCTCTAGCAACTTGTAAAAGATGTTGATGCTTTCTTTCCACCCTAGCATTTTGTTGAGGTGTTTCAACACATGAGACTTGATGAATAATGCCATGATCAGAATAGAAATCAGATAAAATGAATTCAGTACCATTATCAGTTCTAATGGTTTTGATCTTAGAGTTGAACTGAGTTTGAACTATATTTGAAAAATGAATGAGGGATGATTTTGTGTCAGATTTGTATGTAAGAGGATAAATCCATGTGCATCTGCTATTGTCATCAACAATGGTTAAAAAGTATTTGTGACCAGAATAAGAAGGTATTGAAAAAGGGCCCCATACATCACAATGAATTAAATCAAAAGGATTAGATGCATGACTGATACTGTCAGAGAATGGTAACCTTTTCTGCCTTGAAAAATGACAAACATCACATGGTTTATCAATGTAAGAACCACATTTACTCAAAGAAACAGGTAGTTGAGCCAATTTATGAAAAGATAGATGTCCAAGTCTGTTGTGCCATAGCAAACAATTATCTGAAACAGAATGCTTAGTGGTATTGGCATCAATACAAGTAGGTACAGTAGAATCAACAGTAACAGAGTCTGTACAATGTTCATCAGTAATTGAAGCATTTACAATATGATTGGTAGAAACATTGTTATCAAAATGAGATAAGGAAAGATGGTAGAGACCATCCTTCATGTCAGCAAACCAATCATTTTGAGAGTTTTCAGATCCTGTAAGATGCAGGAGGAAGAGACAAATTTGACAATACAGTTATTTGATGAACATAATTTTGAAACTGAAATCAGATTGAAATTGAAAGATGGCACAAACAATACATGAGGCAGTACAAGATTAGGTCCCAGTTTTAACTGTCCCACATGACTTGCCTCAGTATGTGCACCATTAGGAAGATTGATTTTAATAGATAATGGTGTTGGAGCAGAAGTAAAATAAGATATGTCACAAATCATATGGTCAGTTGCTCCAGTGTCTAATATCCATGTGGTTTTTGAAAATTTATTAGCAGATGAAACATTGTTCAAGTATATACCTGCATTGGATGCATTATGATTTGTGTGAGCAGTGGCAACCAAAAGAGAAACTCCAGTGCCCTGTTTCTGCTCAACAGATCTTTTGAATTCAAGAAACTCATGTAACAAGGAGTCAGTCATAGAGGGAGTATGAATAGAATCAGAAGAAAGATTTTCAGATGAAGAAACAGCATTTGTTTGGGACTTATTTGGGTGAATTCTAGGACCACGAGGACCGACTTTTTGACACTGAGTGCTAATCTTAGCTACAGGGGACTTATTTGGGTGAATTCGAGATCGACTGTCACCTCATCCGAGAGAAGATAGCTAAAGGCATCATCAAACTTGAGTTTGTCTCCTCCTCAGATCAGACTGCAGACCTCTTGACCAAACCATTATCCACCCAAGCTTTCAAATCTAATGTCTCCAAGTTGAGCATGATGAACATTCATGCTCCCCTTGCGGGGGGGTATTAGAATATAAAATTGTTATTTTGTATTTAACACTTCTTTGTAATAGGAATGATAGCACTTTATGTATTTTAGCATATAGTATAAATAGGATTGTCTCTAGGGTTTCCAAACACTTTTCACATTCTCTCTTCACTTTGTACGCAGACAATCTGTCTCTCTCTTTTCCCTCTTCAATAATATCCCTTTCTTTTGTTCTTGTTCTATCGATTATGATTCACAATTCGTAAATCTGATATATTGTCAACCTAGTTGTATACTAGATTGATAATGTAGCATTACTCAAATAAGTTTTAGCTATCAAAACATTTTAATGAACTCCTTATTGGAAACAAAAGCCACACTCAAATAAATTGCTGATTCAATGATACAAGGGTGAAGTTGAATGAGTTCACTTCTTTTAAGTCTTAAAAGATGGATTTTCTTTTCACCATACAAAATCTTTTAGACAAGGCCGAATTACAACATAGATCACGATCTTTACTTTAATTCAATTTAAGCATTTTTTTTTTTTAATTCAACCTATCTCATTAATGATAAAACATTTTTTCCTTGTACTTTTTTTTTGGGTTAATTATGACAAAAACCTTACATTTTATATTGATTGAGTAATAATTATATTTTTTATTGTATCATATAATAGTTATTATTAAAATTAATAATTATATTACACTAAACGATATAAGAAAGTTACATAAACATAAAAAATTATATTGTAAAAATTCTTTTTTCAAGTTATTTATTCTAAAATCAATATAATAATTTTTTATCTTATTAAACGATTGTGTTTAAATAGATTAATTTATTTTAATGTCATAGTAAAATTTTTTAAAATTACATAAGCATTTGTGGTAATAAATTTAATATTTTTTAGCTAATTAGTTCGTCATGATCCCTCAAAATTACAAAATTTATATATTTGTTATATTTTATGCAATCAAATCGTTATGTACTATTTATTTTAACCAATGATCGAATTTTAAAATATAATCCATTTATCTAACTTATAATTTTAATAGTATATGCATAAATATAACTTATAATACTCTATGTTTAAAATATAATATCATTATCTAACTTATAGTCTTAATATTATATACATACAAGTAACTTATTTCTTTTATATTTGCACATGATCGAATACTAGTTCAATACAATAATTAATGAAAGAAAAGAAAAAGAAGAAATTAAAATAACAACAACAAGAGATTGGGTGTTGAGCTAACCCATGGTCTTAATGCCAAAGTGGCTTTAAATTCATGGTAGTCATAATCCTACTGCAATGATCAATTGATTGGTTATAATTAACGTAGTCATAATCCTACTAACGGTGGCTTTACAAAGTGTTTAACTAAAATTTGATGTCAAGAAATAGCCCTCCGCCACCTTTTATGCCTATTTTTTCTTCTTTTTCTTTTTGTATATTACTATGTAGTGCCTTCAATATTGAATTCATGGGATAAATATTAAATTCAAATACAAATTTGATATTCTTAATCTATTATTTTATGTGTCTCATGAAAATCAAGTATGCACAATTTGAAATTATGCAGATTTAATGGAAACAGAAAACAAACAAGTTAATTTCATTATTAATCAACTACTTACACCCGTTTTTAAAAGGAGTTGAAAACTTCAAATATACGCAATAGTCACTACGGCTTATGACGTAAGTTAGTTGCATACATTTCCACTTTATTTTTCGGTCATATTAATTAATAATATATATTCCTCGAATTTTATAATAATTAGGAGCCTAATGCATATGAATGATGTTGTAAGAAATTATGTATCATCAGTAATTTTGACACACATGCAAATTGGAGATTACTACTTTTGGCAAAAGTTATTATTGCCCAACTCAAGTATTAGCACTTCCATTATTAGTGACCGATAAGGAACACAATAATGTTGTATTATTATTTTTGTCAAGGCAGTTTTATGTGTAGAATTTGGGGGCAGGCTCTAATTTTTTTTTTAATTTTTTTTTTACTGGTGGCTATGTATAAATTTCAATTTGCGCCCATTTCAATTTTCACTTTGTTCCATTACGGACAAGAAAAGGATGTAGACAAAAAGCTAAGAATAACTCTACATCTGAACTTTAGATTAAGTTTTAAAGTTTTTTTTGAAATATTTCATAAATTTTACTTAGCGAATCTAAAAATCAAATAATGTCAATAGAATATACAAATAAACAATAACATTATGTCTAAACAAATTTTCATTCAGTATACTAGCTTTTTTGTTTAGAAACTAGTCCTTTTTTTTAAAAAAAAAAAAGCAACTAAACAAAATATATTAAAACTCAAAGAAAACAACACAACGAATAATCAATGGGTTACGAGTAAGGCTATTACCCAAGAACACAAGGGGAATGCCCAACCAGCGGAGGAATTAACAAAAAATTCCCTCTACACAACAATTAGGCTAAACACGCCCAACTAGGTTCAGCTGAGCTGAGTAGCTGACTTATTCGGATGTTTAACTGTTTTCTAGTATGTAAATACATGTTTTTCTTCTATTAGAAGTCTATCGTTTCGAAAAAAAAACGTCCTCTTGCCTGAGTTTGGTTGACACTCTTATTTCTCGGGCTTCTCACAAAACAACGTCATCCACTGACATGAGCTCTAGCCAATCTCCCCTTGCCCCCTTTACAATATCTTTCTCACACGTCTATAGTAGATAGATGTATAGACTAATCCTATCTACTATTCAGCTTCCCTTCTAATAAATTGCAAATGCTATTCCACCAGCTTTTGAGAGAAGTTTTCATATATGAGAGTTGGCTCCATTGTACTGTGACATGCGTCAGTTTTACGTGCATTTTAGAGTGATTTTCGTGTCCGTTTCGTTGTAGTTTGATATATAATTAATTATATATTTAATTACTTGTTGATATGTGGATTTTTATCAACGGTTAATCATGAATTATGTACATATTAAGAAAATAAAATTTTGGGATAATAGGGAATTTTCTAGTGAAAGTGTGAAATTTGAATTTGAGGTAGGTCGACCTCTGAGAATTTCGAGGTCGGACGCTAGGCTTTAATTGCCCAAATTAATTATGAATGATCGTTGTCTGTTACAATGAATGAAGATGGAGAATACCTAGAGAGTTAGGGAGATTTTTAAAACCACCATAATAAATGAAACCTAAGACTATTTATAACCCAAACATCCTCGGCTACTGTTCATCTACTATTTCATCGGGTCACTTTGTACATTAAACCGAAATGACATGCATTAAATGAGGTATGACTGATCTTAAGTGATGATTAACAGAAATTTAATGCTGATTCGCGGGCCTTTAATGAGGACATGCCACCCTATGAGTCTACAAGTTGTAGGTCTGCAGAGTTGGTGGGCACATCCCATCGACCATCATTGGCTTGCCAGTGACACTATTTTATTATATTCTGATTCTGAGTGCGCTTTGAGGTCCGACCTCTAGAATCCCTGAGGTCGGACCCCATTCTCGCCTTGAGGTTACGTCTCCTCCCTCTTATACTAAGCTCGGACTTTCTCCTCTTGCTTCGAGCTTGGACTTTCTCATCACCTTCGAGATATAACTTCCTTTAACCTTGCTTTTTTGCCTTTTTTTTTTGCCTTTTTTTTTCTACCCATTTCTAAGCGCAGGCCGCCTATAGCTGGGGGGCCCGACCTAGACGTCGGGTCTAGCAGGATTGACCTAGAAGTTCGGCTTTCGAGGATCATTTTCTTACTAAGCTATCCCATCAAAGGTGTTAAGCTTTGGATTTATACTTTCCCACTTGGGTGCCAACATACAGGCCCTTGAGCTCGGATGGAAGGTGTGTGATATTTTTTCTGAGGTCGTCTTTCTTAGAAATGACATTCGGGTTGGTCAGGATCCGCTCTAAATCGGATGCGTGCCTCTAACTCGCACAAATTCTCAATGTACTTGTGATGTAATACGAAGAGACTCGCATTAATTGTGGCGTGTCTGAAATGCTTGGGCTTCCTTTCTCAAAAGTTGTGCCGCTTTGATCGTCTATCCACATGGCACTAAATCCGAACGTAGATTCATTTTCAAATTTTCGATTGCAAGAGGTTCAATTTTTTATTTTTCTATGCGGACAGGTGTTGTTACCTAGTTTGTCGGGCCTTATATACATATACGGGGGTTTTTTGAACTTTCCTTCGTGATTTCGCCTCCTATATTTCCAGAGCAAAAATGGACTTCCGCCATTAACAAGGTCTTCAAGCTTCTACAGATTTCGTTTTCTCCGGTAACTTTCTTCTTTAACTCAAACGTTTTAATTTTATTTTGTTATTATGTCGACACCCCCACGCGTAGTCATTGATTTAGGCTCTACCGGCGACAAAATTATCCTTGAAACTGTCGAGATGGTGGTTTACTCACCATCGTCGGCGGTTGCGGCGATGTCAAAGGTCACTGAGGGAACAGTGACAGCGGCAACACCAGTCACGACGGTGAGGATGGTAGAATCGGCGGTGGAGACAGCTACGGGGTCAGAAGGGAGACCGACGTTAGAGTCGCTAGCGCAGGGTGCAAGCGGTATGGGTGGTCTCGACTTAAACGAACCTGTTGATTTAGATGTGGACAATGACGTGGACATGGATCTGGTGGAGGAGACCCTCCGAGGACCAATCGTCGAGAACGGGTCCCTTTGGCCAGGGACGACAATGAGATTCATCGAATGATTGAGGATGTGTCGACCGCGCCAAACGGTTTCTAGCACCTACCCGCTCACGTGTGGCCGGAGCCCATCGAGTTGAAGGTTTGTATACACCCTCAATACTGGACGAGGTCGACCTCATCAAGATGAGAAGCAAAGCTTAGTTTAGGTCGGAGGTGCTCATCTTTGCACCCTACCCGAGAGAGAGGATCCATTACCCGAGGGAGAGGATCCGTTTGCCTTTAAGGAGATAGGGAAATAGACCGAGAATTATTACTGTGCGGTACACTCCGGGGGAGGAGGGAGGGGATAACGGGTTGGTTTATAACCTGCCCGACACCCTTTATGGCTTTCAGCTGGAGTGGTTTTGGGCCAGCGACCAATGGTTGACTGACCATTTTTCGGAGTACCGATAACACCCAACCTCCTATATGATTAGTACCTGTTTGGGTACTATTTTTTCTTTTTACAGTTTTACAGTATACTATTTGCTCACTCAGTTTCGTAGCTTTGCCTCAGTGAAAGAGACCCAAAAGTTCACCCGTCAAAATCCGACTCCGTTGGCTAAGAGGAAAAATGAGATGAGTGGACGACTTAACTTCTTCCGTGAACAGAAATCGACCGACACGAGCTAAAGTTGACCTCCTCCTCGCAAGTCAACAAGAATCAAGTGGACACCATCTCGAGAGAACCACACCAGAGGCCAAATCGGCGAGCATGAGGGTCGGGTCAGTGCATGCGGCGGGGGCGATGTTGTCGTTCCTCCTACTGATCGATCGAAGAAGAGGCTGGCCTTGTCTTCTCTCGAGACCGAGACTGAGGACCAATTTCAGAGGAAGAAGAGGAAAGTTCTGAAGGAGAAAGGAGCTTCAGGGAAGAAGACCGGGCTTCAGAAGGAATCTGGGGCTTACATCCTTCAAGTCGGGTCAGAGGGCTATATCCTCCCGTCTCTGGCGAGGTGGATATAATAAAAAAAGACCAATCACTTGCTTATTCGCGCTTTCGGTTGCAGATGCGATTTTTTATGCCATTCTTGCTTTCGGTGGTCTCGGGAACATGGCCGATTTGTTAGATTTGCTGTAAAAGATTGGCTTTCAGATATGAACAATTCCATTTTGATCTGGCAATCATGTTTCGGTTAAAGTACATATGCTTGCAGTTTATTTATTTATGCAATCATACTCCTTGTCTTACATTGAGATAGTGTGGTTCGTGGTGTCTCGAACAGAAAGGTCACCTATAGGTTCCTTGTAGACTAAATTATTTGTTCACAGTTTAGACTGGCAGTGAGGCCCCACTTGGAAAAAGACTGTAGTGTATTCTTGATTCAGTTGATCTTTGACTGGAGAACTACACTAGTACTTATGTTAAGTATTGAACAGGACCACGAAAGGATAAAATTATGAGACTCACTGACCGTTGTTGTAATCTAGACCTTCAGTGATTGATGCGCTAAAGCTGTAAGATAATATAAAATAGACATATATATTTTTTACTTATTTATTTGATTTACCAAGAATGATTCCTATTCTGTTACGATGACATACTCGGTATTTTGGTAAATAAGAATATTTATATAGTGTGCTATTATAAATTATTTACGGTCACTGTGTCCTAGTGCTCTGGGTTGATGACGTCCCCAAAATAAGCTCATGAAGAAATATTATGTCAAGCCCTGCAGGCGGATGTGTTCCGACATAATGGTTAACGATCTGCGTGGTACTAGCTTCGGAAATAAATAAAGAAGTTGATTAATTATTTTGTCAGTAATTTAATTAATCAACGGACGTTATATGTTAAACATAGGGAGGTAACTCGATCAATCAGATTAATAAATATTAATCAAATGGAGGTTTGATTTAATTGATTAAATTGGAGCCAAATGAGGAGAGCAATAATAATATTCTAGTGGGATATATTATTATTTAATTTTATTAGTATTTTAGGAATTAATTTTATTCCATATTTAATATTCCAAGAGTTGGGGAATATTCCTTCTAGAATATTACCTAGGGTTAGGAGACTTGAAAGTCTTCTAGAAGGTGATGTTAGGAGGAAGGAATCATGACTCAGTTGGGATTAACTTGTGGAGTATAATTAGGATTCTTTAGCCTAATGGAATAAACCCATATTTGGCACCTCCTAAAGGTCCCTAATGAAGCCTATAAATACACCATGTCTCAACCTCTTGAGATGTACTTGTGAGACTCGATTTTAAGGTTCCAAGAGGAAGAGGAAAAACGAGTTTTACATATATTTGATTGTTTGGAAGATTCAATTAATCGCACCACAAAGATTAATTGAAGTAGTTGTTTAGGTAGTCTATTAGAAGACTTTAAGGTGATATTTATCAAGCCTTAAAGATCCAAATATTCCGGCCAACCACCACCGCCGACCGCCACCGTTCGCCGNCCCGCGCAGACAGCGACCATGCCCGGTGTTGGCGACTCTACGCGACCCCGTGCACGGAAAGACCATGACCCGCACAACACGCGCCCGCCGCCTGCCAGACCTAGTCTGCGCGCGCTTAGGAGAAGTGTCGCGCACACCCGCGTGTGCCCAGACGCCAGTGCCCAGTTCGCTCTGGCATAGAAGTACCGTCCAGCGCGCGTGCACCCGCGCTGATGAATAATCGTTTATCTCCTCAACTCGATTGCCTCGAACTAAGCTTTGCCACGGCTTAATCTCGACGATAGGTATGGACGACTCGATTATTAGCCTTATCTTCTCACAGTTTTCAGATGGTTCGGGTCTTAGCCTTTCCAAACTCGATTTGTATGATAAAACTCTCACGAATTCTAAGCACACGGTTTTGCTCTTGCGAATAATTTTTATTAACTTCAATGATATTAAAATCAAATGACAATAGGTAGATCTAATCATAGTCTAAGAAGAATTCCTAATGTATGGAAATAAATAAAGTCCTAAGGCAACTAAATATCTAGTAATGAAAGACTTACCAATTAACTAATAGGCACATGCCTTTTATTCAAATTCCTAACCAAACTAAGACTCCTAATATGCTTGGGAAAATTGGCCCTAGGCCTTCTAGAACCTCACGCGTCTTCTTGCGCTGCACGCCAACCGAAAACCCTAGCCGCGTCACGCGAGTCCTTGTCCTTCGAGGACTTGCGCTCATCCGCCGCCTTGCGCGCATCTGTGCCCCACGCGTCGTCAAACGCTCTCCGTGTGTGCCCGCCCTTTACGTCTCGCGCGTATTCGCCCTTCGCGCCTTCCCGCGGGTGAACCACATGCTAACCTCCTCACACCCTTCACGCCATCCGCTTCTCGCGTGGTCAAACCGCACGCGAGCCGCCCGTCGCGTATTACCCACCGCGTCTTCATCGTCATCCTCGCATCATGCCTTCTTGCGCATGTCGTTCCTCGCGCAACCCTGCCTCGCGCGTCCCCTTCCCGCGCGCCTTGTACGCGATCCACGCGTATCGCGTGCCTACGCATTACTCGCTTTCCTGGCACGCAGCCCCGGTGAGCCTCCTTCGCACAGCGTCGGCGGTTATCCCGACCCTTTGCGCGCCTTTTCTCGTGACTCGAGTGGGGTCGTCCTCGGGTTCAGAGGGGTCGATGACCACATATTCATCACGCGCCTTCCCAGCGTGCGACCCGGCCCAACAGCGACCAGCCCGTGGCCCAGCAGGCCCAGCACTCATGGCCCAGCGCCCAGCGCGACCAGTCCCGGCCCAGCGTACTAGTACCTGTGCCCAAGGACCAGACCCGGCCTGGTCTATCCCAGTTCGGTCCAGGCCTGACCCGACCAGATCCAGACTGGTACGACCCAGTTCAGCCCGACCCAGTTAGCCCGGTTCGTGCCCAAGATGGTTTCCAAGCTGTCCGAGGAGTCCGGTTCACATACCGAAGATCCGAGGCGATCCGTTCGTGATTCAACACTCGACTAGAGTCGACAAAGGCCAAACCCTTCAACCGAGTGGGTTGTGGTAGGCAGACGATCTCCATCAACGGAAATCAGAAACGTCTCTGAGTCGGCAAGAATTTTAAACCGTAAGTCCTAATCCTAACTATAGATTCCGCTGCGTTAGGATTTATTATTCAATAGATTTGAATGTGCACATTGGCGACGTTCCTAATAGAACCCAACACGATTTTCCTGAGAAATAGTTTGTCAATTGCAAGAAGTCGAAGCGCCCGAAGATTCTAAATGAGTATCATTTGCCTGGGTAGTTCTTTTAGGCGACCAAGATCTTGCTAGGACCCAGATGCGGAACTATACATGGGCGGTCTGTCGTATACTCAGTAGATGGAGATGCGGCGGGTTTCATCGCTCGGGCTCTGTCAGACGGGTCCACGCCCACGAAAGGACGAAGAAGTATGCAAAGAAGACCGACCCGGTGATCGACGAGCATAAGGTCTACATGTGAACGATCTGTTCTCTCGAGGACCAAGTGCAGGGGGAGATCAAGCTCCAGGAGATAGCGGTTCGAGAGACGACCATCCTGGTCTCCAACCTCAGCGACGAGAGGGCGTCTCATGAAGCGACCAAAAAGAAGCTTGAGACGGAAGCGACCAATCTCAAGCAAAAAATGGTGGCTTTGGAGGCCAAGGAGAAGGTGTGGTCCGAGAAGGAGGCAGCGTGGACAAAGAAGGAGTCTGATCTGGCCCGAGAAAAGGAGAAACTGCTGGCCCGACTTCAAGGTCTACTAGAGCCGAGCACCCCAACACCCAAACTTGAGTACGCAGATTTCTAGGACCAATTCCCGGAGGCGTTTACCAGGGATGTGGATATGTTGACTGCGTACAATCTCCTGTGGTAACCTAACGATTGAGGCACATATTGCTTAGTGTCGAGGATTTTTGCGAGATCTTTCGCCGTAAGGTGACTTCACATTTTACAAGAATAATATAAAATATTTTAAATAATTTTACATATATTATATAATATTTTAGGTGTTTTTAATATATTAAACGTACATGATTTATATTCTTTTATACAGATACATCTATATTGTTTACCCAATATATATAAATTATATCACATATTAACTTAACATCTTTAATTTATAATTATTATTTAATTTTTTTATCTCTATTTTTAATTTATAATTATTCTTTATTACTGAGACGTGTGCATCGGGCTACACACTAATTTTATTTTATTTAGTTAGAAACGAACAGACTAGTGTAAATTCATTGCTCAATGACATATCCTTCGGATTGGATTTTGATAATTTCTCCAAATCCTATTGTCAATCCAATCCAATTATCTACAACCATTCAATTGGGCTGTTTGGGTGGATTTTCTGTTAGATGTGTTTCGAACATAACGAAGGAGATGTTGCCTGTACTTGCAAACCAAACAGCCCAAGTTTATTAAATATTTGATACCAAGTTCGTTTAGAGAATTTTGACAGTCCCCCAAATTATGCAAATGGACTAAGTGATTTGTCCCATAAAATTAAAATTATACTGGCCCAATTCAAAAGACCTACCGAATTATACTGTTAATCGTGAACGTGTTTAGATCATAAAATGGATGAGGCGTACGGAACTCTCATTTTTAAACTTTATTAATTTGCATCTATTATCCATAACCTTCACAGTTATATTTGATGTACTTGTTTTAACGTTCACACGGGCAAAACTAATTTATCTTTTATAAAAACTTACGGTAACATATGATGAGCATTCCTTGACAAATCGTTCTTTCGACGATCTCAAATCGGTTTGACCCCTAGAGTTCCTGCAAAATATGCCGGGAATGTTTTCGACGGTAGACCTCCGACGATCAAGCCAGTTCTCAAAATATAAAGGAATAGAATGTGTATGAGTAAATTGTAAAGATTAGAGTGTGTAACATTACCTCTTCATACTCAACCAATATATAATTAACTCTTGACTTGTTGCTCAAGCTCTGCCCAATTCTACTACCCGAGTGGCAGGTCTTCCAACATTAGATCTTCATATACAAAAAATCATAGATCCTCATATAAGTCGTCATAGGTTCGTTAGACATGTTGTCAATAAGTCTTCATATATAAACAATAAATCTATCAATCAACTATTCTTAAGTCCCTTAGGTACGTCACCATCCGTCGACCTACAACCCTTTACATACTTTTAGAAATCCACCGACCTATTATTCACATGTCCCTTACCTAAACATACTATCAGTAGGTCCAGCAAACTATTGTCATTAGGTCCCTTAGATGCATTACCAGTAGGTCCCACAACCTATTACCCACAGACCCCTCACATATAAGTGTTACCAGGTCACCCCCATATACCGTCAATAGGCCTACATATGTAAGTTGCCCTTAGATCGGCATTACCACGAGCTAGCAAGAGGTCTTCACCTATATCCAAGCTACTAGATGTTATGACTGTGTTACCTGAGCTAATCAAGGTCAACTTACCTAAGCTACACGAGGGCCGACCCCACCGAGCTAACCCTAGTTGATTGTTCCGAGCTACTCTACATGTTATATCAGCTAGCCACCCCCCCAATTATAAAATGAGCTATTGCTTTTACGAGCTAAATATNTAATAATAATAATAATAATAATAATAATAATAATATCTTTGAACTCAAGAAGGTCTTGAACGACCTGGACTCTTGAAGACGTACATCGTACACTACACTAGTCTTTTCGCCTGTCCCATCTGTCACTCCCCTCGATTCTATACCTGGAGCTCATATATGAGCCCCTTATTTCTATTTTGATCCAACGATGATTCTGCCATGACCTAATCACTATAAAATCCCACCCATTTTGTACAATTAAACTTTCTACAATTTTAAATATTCTGTGTTTTCTGCAAAAAAATCTTTCCATGTGCAAAGAATCTTCCGACACTCTATTTATCAAACTCCGGTGACTTGTGTTACCACCTCTAGTGATCTTGATACCTTATTGTTATTTTCTTCTTCCACCGACGAACATGGGTATGTGTTTTTAGTGCTTATTTTCTTTTCTTCCTGTTATTTTTTTTAGTTGTTCATCTTCGTCTTTCTTATTTTGTTTCTAATATTTGCTTTTTATTTTTTAAGCTTCCTCGTTACCTAACTCTACTACCCTATCGCACCTCTTCAGAGTCTTACTAGTCTCTTGATATTATCCCCACAACTATCGTAGCTCAACCAATTAGGCCAACTCGTCATCTTATAGATGAGCCCGAAGAGAGGTCTCCTAGTATTCCTTTGCACATATCGTAGATACTTATCCCTCGACCTACCCTCTAGCCCTCCTGAGGAAGTCCCTCATTCTACCTCTGAGCTAAGATATCAACTGGCTCAAATATCCATAGACACCAGTCGACCTACCGACCAGGTCGTAGATCACGTTTTTGTTGTTGTCATGTTAATCCGAGCTAACCTACTTCTCTTCGCCAAGTAACCTGAGATCGGGTCTTCACGAAAATGTGAAAGCTCCCAGAAGGTTTGGGTTTGTAAAGCTCCAGTACTAGGCAGTTTCCACAAGCAACCTCCTGGGTTTTACACTTTTTTTGCCCACCAATTTCTCAACGGCCTCCGTTTTCTTCTTAGATACGACCTTCTTAGCCTTAGAAAATTATATTGTATGTCCTTGAATCATCTCAGTACTAATTCTATTTGTATAATGGTAGCTTTTATGATCCTTAGCTGTAGCAAGCTGCAAACCTTACTGCCAATTTCTTCTCTTATTTTTACGACCTCAAAATGCAAAAAGGTGTGTTCAACATGAGTGCTCGTAACCGAGCTGATTTTCTTGAAAACCTACCATCCAACGTCCCTCATTGTAAGACCAAATTCTTCTTTGCCAAAACTCTTCCAGGAACTTTTAACTCTGACTCAGAATGGATTGAAAAGGCCCCGTCCAAAAATTAAAACCCAAAAGTATTTTTGAGTTTCATGACCAGATAGCTGAGTGGAATCTCCAACCATACAACATAGATAAGCTCATGCCAAGTGTGGAGCTACGCTCTTACTTCGGGTTAACCTCCATATAGGCCCCACTCTTTGGCATTGGTATACGAACTAACAACTTCTTTATTTTTGCGACCTCTTTCTACTTGTGTTGGTGTCATCTCTTTTAGCAAACAAACTTATCTCTGGAGCTTAATTTTCTACAGCCTACAATAATAAGAAAATGCCTATCTTATGCCCGAGCTCCTCTACCAATTCCCAAAAAACTGAAACACCGTCTGCTCGTCACCATAAACCCACCAATGAACTCTTGAGGAAGATTTTTTATTCTCGGAAAAGACAGGCTCAAGAGGTTGAAAGCTCCTTCAAACGACCTAACGAAGCTACTCCTCACAAGATCTCCTGCGCCCTCCAATAGCCCACTGAGTTTACGACTTCCAAAGATCCCGTTCAGGCGTCTACCTGTTGTCCATCTTCTCACGAAGAGGAACATATCCTCGGGGATGACTCCAAGATGTGAATTAAGTATATCGTGCGACTATCTAAGATATTTTAATACTAGCTTTATTTGTCCACTTCCGACCCTAACATACTTATATTATCAAAATCTTTTCCTTTATCACTCGCAACTCATGTCTAGCCCTGCTCCTATCCTGCACGAGGCCATTGAGGGAGAGGCACCTTTTACCTTCGAGTACACCCAGCTCAAGAAGAAGTTAACGGTGGCCAAGAGCTCTGCTACCCAGGTTGATAAGCTCAAACACGAGCTAGAAATGACCTAGAGTTCTTTGACCCAAGTCGAGTAGCTAAGAGCCGACCTAGCTAAGCTTACGGAGGAAAAAAAGGCTTTGGAGGTGTCTCATGCTCTAGAAACTAAAGCTGACAAGGCCAAGGTCGAGCATATGAAGGAGCAGAGGAGATGGAAGCTTGCAAAGAGTCAGGGACCAACGTCCTCTCCTCGCAAGTGGGAGCTCGCTTCCTTAATTCATATCAGGATGAGCTACTGGATCATTTTTCAAATTCCATGCCTTTTCTCCAGCTGCTCGAAAATACCTTCATCTTGTTGACGATAGGACCCTAGGGCAAGCCAAAGATTGTGGCTATACTGGCGAGTTTGACGACGCAACTCTGATGGGTCGTTGCCGTCACACCTCTTAACAGTTTCTGAGCTCAAAGAGCTCGACGTTAAGCCATTACACCTCATAACAACACCCGAGCTCCAAGAGCTCGACCTTAAACCGTTACACCTCTTAACAACTCTCGAACTCGACCTTAAGTTGTTTCTCTTCTTCAAATTGCACGAGTTGTCCATAGTTCAAATTCCCACAGACGGCGCCAATTGATGAGAGATTCCCTCACGAACCGTTCTTTTGATGACCTCAAATTGATTTTGACCTCTAGAGTTCCTGCAAAACACGCCGAGAGTGTTCCCGGAGGTAGACCTCCGATGACCAAGTCAGATCTCAGAATATGAAAGAGTAAAATGTGTGTAATATATTGTGAAGCTTAGAGTGTAACCTTACTCTTTCATATCCAGTTCCTATATATAGTGAACTCTTGACTTCTTTCCCAAACTCTGCCCAATTCTACTGCCCTAGTGACCCGACTGCCCGAAGGTCTGTCCGGTCCTACTGCTTGTTTGCACAAGCTGCCCTAAGGTCTACCCGGCGATTATCATGTTGCCCGTAAGTCTTAGATCCTTCCTAGATAGTTCCTCCACGTGTAACCTTATCAGTAGGTCCACCAACTTACTATCCATGGGTCTTCATATACAAAGTATTCATAGGTCCACATATGTTATGTCATCATAAGTACATTAGACATGTTGTCGGTAAGTCCTCATATATAAACTATCACTAAATCCATCAATCTACTAATCATAAGTCCTTTAAATACGTCGATGGTAAGTTCACCGACCTACAACCCCTTACATACTGTTAGAAGGTCCACTAACATATTATTTGCAGGTCCCTTACCTAAACATACTATCGGTAGACCGACTTACTGTCCTTAGGTCCCTTATATACATTTCCAGTAGATTCACCGACCTATTACCCACAGGTCCTTCACGTATAATTGTCACCCAATCACCCTCATATACTGTCAATAGGTCTACATATGTAAGTTGTCCTTAGCTCGCCCTTACCAAGAACTACCAAGAAGTCTTCACCTATATCCAAGCTATGACCATGTTACCTGAGCTAATTAAGGTCAACTTACCCGAGCTACACGAGGGCTGCCCCCACCGAAAGAACCCTAGCCAATTCTTCCGAGCTGCTGTTATATGTATATCAATATTAATTTTTTTTAGATGACTCGACTAGATATTTACAATTAATAAAAGCTAATAATTATACAAACATGATTAAGTTGTTTATTTTGTAATGATAGTATCACATTAACGTTTACTTATACACTGCAGATAAATACAAATGTATCTAATAAGTTTCATAAAGAAGAATGTTAATTAATATTTAATACAACCTGACCGAATCCACCCCAAACTCTTAAATAATTATCCTTATATTATATATACTATATATACAAGAGGACAAAGCTTGGAATTCGCAAAATATAATTTACTTAAGCTTCCCAAACTGAAGCATATGCATATGATAGCTAGGAACAGAAGCTTCGTCAATCTTGCACGTTAAATTTAAAGCGTTGAAAACAAATCAAGTGGCTGACAATTTTTAATTAATTTGATAGATCCCAATATCATCATTCCCACTGTTGATGTCAGTTTTTATATTTTTTTTCACTATTTATCATTTATGCCGTATTAATACTTTATGCTAATATGAGTGAATTACCCCAATACTCCATTGTTGATTAGTTAAAAGAAATTGTTATATTACATTATGCATCATTGTCATACTATGATTGTACCATGTATTAGTCACTCTGCATAGGATATAAAATTATATACATAAATTCTTGTATGAGCCTATAGTTGTTAGTTAGGTTGACCAGACATATCTTTTTTTTAATAAATAAAAACATTTTCTTATACTATAAAATATTGTAATGTTATTTATATTATTCTTTCAATGTATGACATTTTAATTTCAACATGCATATTAGGCCCGCTGTTAGTCAGCAGTCTTAGTGAATAATTATATTTTGAATGTGATCGTAAAAACTAAAACCTCATTTACTTGGTGAAAAATAGATACTACTACGTATTATAAGATTATAAAACAACAAATTTGACTTTCAACGCTTAGCGTAACGCGCCTGTGATCCCCAACTCAACGACAAATGTATCACACCATAGTGGGTGACCGTGAGTTTAACAAAACCCGTGCTCCACAGGTCACATGCAGAATTTATATATGTGAGACTCCACACACACACACACTGACACTGAAACTGGAGACTGAAAAAAATCACAAAAAAAAAAAAGTGTCCCTTCATCTCTCCACAATGTCCTCCGCCTCCAAAAAGCACATCCTCAACACCCTCACCTCCGGCCTCGGCTGCGGCGGCACCTGCCGCCGCCCCAAGCTCTCCTCCGTCTTCCAGCCCCGCCCGCGCCACCACCACCACCACCGCCGCCGCCGCAGCCGGCAGCCTTCCTCCAGCTCGTGGGACAGCGCGACCGGCACGACGTTCTCCTCCGCCGTGGACACTCCGCCGCAGGCCTCTTCGGACACGGAATCGGACGTGCGGAGCCTGCGGGCGGTGCAGGGGTTCGGGCGCGTGGGCGGCGGCAGCGTCGCCGTGGAGAAGGAGTCGGAGGACCCTTACCTCGACTTCCGGCAGTCGATGCTGCAGATGATAATTGAGAACGAGATCTATGCAAAGGAGGACTTAAAGGAGCTCCTCAACTGCTTCCTCCACCTCAACGCCCCCTATTATCACGGCACCATTGTTCGGGCTTTTACAGAGATCTGGAACGGGGTTAATTCGGGCCGGGCCGGGTCACGTGACTTCTAGGTGACCGCACGTGAGCACCAACCGTCGGGGGTGGTGTAATAATTACTGATTAGTGGAGGAGTGGGTCCCGGGTTCGGGTGTAGGGAAGATCCAGATCCGGATAGTTAATGGGTTTTGATGGGTCTTTTNTTTAGCTTCTAAATCGAATGGTAATAGTTGACTAGGAACAAAGGAGATTCAATTTTCACAGAATTTTTGACACTATAGCAGCTAAGTTGGGAGGTAAATTGTAAATTTGTTGATGGAGGAGTCAAAAATTCTGTGAAAATTGAATTGCAATGTTTATTTCTAGTTGATTGTACTTTTATATTTATATATAATATATATATGTTACTGCTGTTTCTATTTGTGAATGCTGTTGGTTTTTGCTATTTGGATGCAAGTGTTGTACACAGTACACTTGTACTATGTGCATGGCGTGTGGTTTCTAATTTTCTTTTTCCTTGGAAAATGTTGAAATGTTATATGGGATTTTACAGTTTTGGTCCCTTTGGACATCTCTTTCTGGTCCAAATGATACAAGATTACAAGTGAACTTGGAAAATACACACACACACACATTATATGTTCTTTATATTACTTAGTTGTAAATTATGTTCAGATCCATACTTCCAGTAATTTCTTTTCCTGCGCCGGTTACACTGGTGGCTCGCCCGGGTCTACACTTTTNTCCAAAACGATGAAATAATAATAAACCAACAAAACAGAGTACAAATTACAAGAACAACCAGACAAAACACTAACAGCAGCAACACTAACCAACTAAATGTGCTAAGCACAAACAAAACCCTGCGCAGACTAAGACCCAGAAATGGAGAACCATAAAAATGGCCTAGAAGGGAAATAAGGGACAAAATAGTTGGTCTATTGGGCAGTATATAATACTGAGGCCCTGAGACAACCATTTGTCAAAGCAATACAACCTAGCCACTGCAAAATGCCTAGCTAGGGAAAAAACAGAGAAAACAACAAAAGAAAGAGAAAGAAACCAGACAAGAACACAGGAACACTTAGGCTACCAAGGAGAATTCTCTCCATTCAGAACATGCACCTTCTATCACCCTTCTCTCTGTTTGCATTTGATTTTTAAAGATCCAGAGGTTTCTGGATTTCCATAACCACCATAGAATGTAGGTGGTTAATTGGATCCTGTCCTCGGCTTCTTTATCCTTGTGCATTAGGCAAACTTCCTTCCACCAACTTCTGAAACAAGGTACTTCCTTTTGCTCATTTTGAATAGTAGTCCAAGTCACTGGTGACAACTTCCAAGTCATTCTAGCTCTCTGGCAATTGAAGAGGATGTGCTCAGTAGTCTCTATATCATCTCCACAAGCTTTGCAGATGCAGTCCATCTTCAGTCCTCTCTTGAACAGGTTTGAGAGGGAAGGCAAAATTCCAGAGAAACACTTCCAGATGAAGTGTTTAATTTTCTTCTTGATCTTTAGCTTCCAGCTGAATCTCCTCACTCTAATAATCCAAGAGCTTTGGCTGCTAGATTCTGGAATATCCAATCTCAAAACCTTCCTCTGAATCAGATTTTCATAAGTAGATGCAACAGTGAACTTTCCCTTCTTGTTGAAGCACCATGAGAGAGTGTCTCCCTGATTTCTGTCAATGGATGAGATTCTCAGGATAGCTTCACATTCAGCAGGAGAGAAGGTACAGTTGAGAAGGTCTTCATTCCAGTCATTTGTTCCAGGTATCAGAAGCTCCTCTACCCATGTTGGGCCAGCTGCAGTGTTTCCACTTTTCTTGGGTCTGTGATTATTCAAAGTAGGGATCCAAGGGTCCTCCCAGATTCTTGTGCCTCTGCCATCTTTAACAATCATACAAAAACCCTGCTCAAAAGTAGCATTTAAACTCATCCAGCTCCTCCAAAGCCAAGAGCAGCTTTGAGGAGGTTTGGTATCAAAGAAAGAGCTGTTAGGGAAATATTTATGCTTTAAAATTTTGCTGACCAGCAAGTTGGGGTTGGAGTGGATTCTCCAAAGCTGTTTTAGGATTAAAGACTCATTGAAAATCTTAATATCAGAGAAACCCAGACCCCCATGATCAGTGGGAAGAGTTAACATGCTCCATTTTTTCCAATGTATCCCTTTAGAAAGATTATCTCCTTTAGACCACCAGAAATTGGCAAAAAGTTTAGCAATATCAGAGCACAGGCCAGGGGGCAAGAGAAAGCAAGACATAACAAAGGTGGGAAGAGCAGAAAGCACAGCTTTAATCAGAACTTCTTTCCCAGCAGATGAGAGAAATTTGTTCTTCCAATTTTGGATTCTGTTCTTAACATTTTCAAGCACAAAAGAGAAGGCTTGTCTTTTAGATTGGCCAATACCCAGGGGCAGCCCTAAATATCTAGTGGAAAACTGAATTTGGATGCCATTAAAAAGTCTACAAATATCAAACTGCACAGACAGGGGAGTATTTTTGCTAAAAAAGATGGAGGATTTAGACAAGTTGATTTTCTGACCAGAATTTTTTAGATAACAGTGGAAGATTCTCAGAATTTCAACAGCCTGGTCCGGGGAGGCTTTACAAAAAAGGAGGGTATCATCAGCAAAGAATAAGTGGGAGAGCTCAGGACCTGATCTAGAAAGTTTAAGCCCAGTTAAAGTACCCTGTTGGATGGAGAGATTCAGAAGGGCTGAAAGCAACTCAGAGACAATTATGAAAAGGTAAGGAGACAGAGGGTCTCCTTGCCTTATACCTCTAGTGGGAGTTACATGGCCACACTTCTGCCCATTTAGGTTAAAAGAGAAACTGGAAGAGGAGACACAGTTCATAATCCAATTAATAAAATGTGCATGGAACCCCATTCTCATCATAACAGCTTTTATACAAGGCCACTCAATTCTATCAAAAGCTTTTTCCATATCCAGTTTAAGAGCCATATAATATTTAGAACCAGTTCTATGTCTATTCAGAAAATGCATGGCTTCTTGGGCAATGATCACATTATCTAGGAGTTGTCTGTTGGGAATGAAAGCAGCTTGTGTATCAGAAATGCAAAGATGCAAACAGTCCCTAAGCCTTGCTGCTAAAATTTTGGAAATAATTTTGTATGCAACACAGCAAAGGCTTATGGGTCTGTAGTGCTCTACTCTAGTTAGATTTTGAATTTTTGGGACAAGGGTTATCAGAGTATGATTCCAGGATTTAGAAATGAAACCAGAGCTGAAAAAACTAAAAATAGCATCACAAAGACTTTGTTTAATAGTGTTCCAGTTTTTTTGAAAGAAAAGAGGGGTCATACCATCATGCCCAGGGGCTTTGTTGGGGTTCATGCTATCTAGAACTCTCTTCACTTCCTCCTCTTGAACATTGGCTAGCAGTCTGGTATTCATTGAGGGGGTAATAGCCGGTTTGATACAACTCAGGAGCTGGGAATCAATATCAGGCCAACTAGATGTGAATATCCCTTTGTAGTAGTCTGTAAGACATTTTTCCATGGAAGCTTGTGAGTCACACACTGAGTTGTTTGCACTGATTAATCTGCTGATAGCATTGCATTTCCTTCTTTGGGATGTGTAAGCATGGAAAAACCGAGTGTTTTTGTCTCCCTCTTTCAGCCAGTGGAGCCTAGATTTTTGACTCCAGTAGGATTCTTCCTCTTTGTTTAGATCATCAATTCTTTTCTTGAGAGTGTTCCACTGACTCCAATCTCTGTTGTTTCCCAGAAGTCTCAACTCTTCCATTTTTCTTGTGGCTTCTTTGAGTTCCTTTTCATTTTCAGATTTAAAAGTTGCACTCCATTTGAGCAGAGCTATTCTGGTGGCTGCCACTTTTTGATGGAATTTGGTCATTGAGTGACCATTTGGAAAGCAGTTCCAGGCTTCTTTTATGATGTCACTAACTCCTTCTCTCAGCAGCCATCTTTTATCAAAGACAAATCTCTTTCTGAAGTTGGAAGCATTCAAACCAGTGGATAATAAAAGGAGGCTGTGATCAGATGAGCTCATAAAGATGTTTGTTGCTTCAGAGTTTGGGTAAGAAGTCATCCAGCCCAAAGGAGCATAGAACTTGTCCAGCTTCTCCTCCACACTGTCCTCTCCTACTCTTGAGTTCCACCAGGTGAATTGGTGGCCTTTAAGCATTACTTCCTGCACACCCATGTTGGCAACAAAATTTTTGAAAGGCCAGAAACTGCTATCAGATCTTCTTCTTCCTCCCTTTTTCTCATGCTGGTAACAAATGTCATTCCAATCGCCTCCTATGAGCCATTTATCCCCCCATTTTGATTTAGCTGATTCCAGATAAAGCCTTTGACATTCTCTCTCCTTTTGGTCAGTACTGAGGTAAACAAATATAATCCATTCCTTCTCTTGAAGGCTGCTGTGTTGATACTCCACTTCCAGGCAGAATTTGTGGGAGATGACTTGAGCAATTTTTATGTTCTTGTCCCAAATCAATAACAGGCCTCCACTTAGGCCAGTGGGGTCCACAGACAAAAATCTATCTACACATCCAAGCTTTCTACAGACTGTCTTCACAAACTGACTGGTTTGCCTAGTTTCACAAACAAAAGCAAACCAGGGGAGGTGGAGCTTTAGAGCCTCCTTGAGTTGGGGAGCTGTAGAGGGTCCTCCCAGACCTCTACAGTTCCACACCATGAACTTCATTTGGGGGTTGGGAGCCACTCAAGGCTGGCTGCCTCCACCTGTTTGCTCGAAGAAGGAGATGCTTCTTTCTTTTGCTTTTTTGAATCCTGGTTTTCAGAAGAGGGAAGGATGGGCTGATTCTCAGATTGAAGTCTTCCCCTTTTGTTGCTTTTTGGCTGTTTGGCTTTCACGTCAGCACCTTTAGAGGAAGCTGGAGTCTTCCTGGTCCATTTTTTCCTTTGCTTACTCACATTTGCTTCAGGGGCCAGCTTTTGAGGCATTACTGTCTCCAACTCCATATTCTGGGTATGAGCTTCCGGGGGAATTGGAAGACCAGCTAGATGCAAATCAATGTCTTGGTTTGTTAGAAGAAGGATAGGATCCAGGTGAACTGATTCTATCAGGTGGGTAGGGGGTATCTTGGTAAGGGCAGGTTGCTTTTGATTTCTAGAGGTAATGATTGGAGGGGGTGGTAGTGGGGCAGATAATGCTAAGTCATGTTGATGGATGGGTGTAGGGGTAGATGATTCTGGTATCTGAGCTAGAGGGGATTTGGTGAGTTTATTTTGGTGGGCACTGTTAGAAGCTTTAGAGCCACTTCCAGAGTTTAGACCAGGTGAAGCTTCATCATTGTGGTAGGATGGGCTAGAGGTTGGGGTTTCTCGTTGGGATGGAGAGGGAGCAGTCTTAGATTTGAAAAAGAAATTTTCTGCCACTTTGAGCCAATCCCCATACTGCCCCTCTTGGAGTTTTCCCGGGTCTACACTTTCACTGGCCAAACAATGTGAAAAAATCAGCTGAAGAAACAAAAACAATTTTATTTTTTATTTTATTCTTTCTTTATTTTTTTATAAAAATATGAGATAATTTTTAAAAATAGTGCCATAATAGGAAAAGTAAAACTAAGTTGGGGGTTATATGATACCTTCTTGACATGTTTTGTATATCAAATCTACTCCCCATTCAACGGTAGTCAAATATCAATATTTTTTTTTTTCGATACGACAATTAATAATCTCATACATAGATAAAGAGACAACACAAATTACATAGGGTCTCGAGAGACCACAATCCAAACAAACTGGATATGAGGACTGCGACGAGTAGCCTAGAAACAAAAATAACTAACAAACTCCCAACAGGAGAAAACTAAACTCCCAACACAATAAAACTAAACTGCCACGAGTGGAGAATACAAAATACACACTCCCAAAGGGAGAGAAAAGAAACAAAACACATAAGAAATACAACCAAAAGAAAAATACTATTAGATAAACTAACGCCCTCTCCTCCAAAAGTCGAGTCCCTCGGACTCCTCAAGCAAGTCGACAACAAAAGCAACCTCGCAAATGGGATGGAATCCCGATCCAACACAAGGTTCTAAAAACTCCACAAGGGCTATCTAGAACCGGATCAAAGACGCAACCTAACCTAGGAAATCATTACCAATTAGGACCACAAAGATCACACCCTACCAACTCCGGTCGGCTAGCGACCGCAGCCCACTGAGAAGCCGCCCCCGCCGGCTGCCTCTAAGCACCCAACACCAGAGTAGAAAGGGATCGGAGAGGTAGAAATTGGACCTCGAGAACACCAACTACCACCAGCAGGCCACTGCTCCTGCCACCACAAACCGTCCACCAGTCGTCGCCCTCCTTCCCACCATGGCAGCCACAGGCTTGAGGGCGAAGTCCAGCAGGGAATGAAAAAACGGCGACCCTCGCCAGAGGGAGAAAGCCCGCCGTTGGAGGAGAGGCCCGCCGGCGGGTTTCTATTTTTTTAAAGGGGGAACGAAAGGAAAAAATAAATATATATTTCGAATTCAATACCTAGTCAAATGCTTACCACTTATATAGTGTTTCTATATCACAAAGTAGGTATTCTATATAGTAAATTTATTTCTCTATCATTTTCAATTTATTTATTTTTGACCTTCATACGATCAAAGTGTAAGAAATTTAACGGTATATTCATAACTATTAGGCGGAATTGAATAAACCTTAAATACGTAATTCTATTACTTCATAAAATATGAATCTTGCATAAATTAATTTTCACATAGAACTTAAAAGAATCCAGGATTATTAGTCCTTCCTGATTTCTTGTATGTATGATTTTGTTACTCTCCAATAATGTGGTACTTTCTCCTGTGTCTCTCGTATTTCACAAACCCTTGATGTTGAGAACTTTAATGAGTCAAGAGAGAAGGGCATATAGTAGTATATAAATGAGGAAACTTACAATCCTAATTCTACTAACATTCTTCATGTTCTAAGCTAACTTATTCTCCAAATCGAACATCACAAATTGGACTCTTAATATTAGAACATTAATATTTCATAAAATATATATTCACCTTAATTAAACTTGACTATTAATTCAGTTAGATCCAACTAATTATAGGTCCACAATAATTGAAGAATATAAAGTATTCTTATATTCTCCCACTTGGACCATATAAGTGTTGAATCCCAATGAACCACTTTAAGCACGCACTTTTCATCAAATTTATTATTGAATACATATATCTAAAAGCTTAAAATCAAATAGAAATTAATCAAGTCATGGCGCTCACAAATCTTCGAGCGACATGATCCCTTTCATGTACCACAAATCATTTCTAATTCAACTTTACTTTAATATGGAATAAACTATTCGTACCATAACCAAGTCATCTAACTTTTATGTATATACTATAAAATTAAATATCGATAATGATGATATTGTATGTGAAGAACCAAATATCAATAATTGAATTCAATAAGTATCAAAAGCATTACTTGAGCAATTACATTCAGTACCAGTCAATACAACAAGGCCTCATTTGTATTTCCGCTTTTCTTTATATGTGTAGCGCCTGTTTGATCTTCTTTAGAAAACTCCAAGTTTTCAGAAATAATTTGAACTTTCAAGAACTTTTCAACTTTAGAACTTTTCTCGGGAACTACTGAAAAACTCTTTCTTTGTCGAACTTGCTGAAAATACTTTTCTTTTCTTTAAAATCTTAACCTAAGTCTCACACTTAAGTTGTTAGAGAATTCAATTCCCAAACTTTTATCTTGCTTCTTTTTTTTGATCGTTAACTTTTATCTTGCTTCTTAATTTCTCGAGACATAATAAAACTTGTAATTATATAAGGTCTCAACACATTGTAACTATAGCATCAATCTGAGCTTATGAAATAAACCGAAACCAAACATTCAGTTTAGAAAGTTTGCGGAAGCATAAAATCATTAATATAAATTTGACCACTCTCGCCCTCTTGTGTCCGCCGCCAGTTGCTCTACCTGAAAAGTGTTAATTGTGGGAGGTGAGCAAAATACTTGGTCACCGTGGGAAACCATACTATGCGATTATTTAGAATAATAATACAAACCATGATATTAGCATGAAGCATGAATAAACTGTTATGGTTTTCCATGCTGGAACACGCTAGCGAGGCAGTCCATCCCACGGATCGATATCAAATATCAAACATGTACAAACATGATTTCAAATACACCCTAAGCATGCTCCTAAAGAGTGGACTGAGAAGTACCTTGAAATCGAGGCTTTGATTCAATCTAAGTGATCTTCTAGTCTGTGTCCCGACCACGTTTGGACGTTGGATGGACGAGGATCTACCAAACGGTTGCAAGGAGCAGATTGCGTATCGTCTTCTCCAAACCCCTCACGTTACATTCTCCTCACGATGGTGGATGAAAGTCTGTCCCACATTCTGTAGTGCGTTAGGGTTCAATTCGTGCACAATCCACTCCTTTTATAGAGGTCCTTGGGCCAGACTAGGGATCTCTTAGAAGGTATAGGGTTTGGGCTTCCTACGGGCCCAAATTCTTATGTTCAGCCCAAAACAAAATTTGGCCCATAAATATTAACTCATTCCACTAGAGAATTAATATTGCACTCCCGTCCTAGTTCGAACTGAATCAGGGCTTCTATTAGACTCGATATAATTCTCCGTGTTTAAGATATTGCACGTCCATTAATTATTAAAGCTTTAGACTAATTTAATTAATTAATATCTTTATTCCTTAAGTAGTGCCACTCAACCTTATTATCGTACAGATTAAATCCACATGCAGGGTTTGATACGATAATCCTTATGAGTTCCTTAAGGGGACGTCATCACGGTGCCTTAATGCCGATAAATAGATATCATGAAGATAATGTCGTTACCCAAGATATGGAGCATATTGAACCAATACTTGGTTCTCACACATGGTAAGTCAAAGTAACAAACAAATATCCCACATATCTAAGTATCACAGCTAGGGTTAAGAATTAGCAGAGTCACCGAGACCTTGGTTCTTCATGAAAGTCAGAACAGAAGAACACGTCTCAATTGTGATCCCTTCAATGCGACGCAGCGCACTAGTATAAACCAATAGCCAAGACAAGCTATATCCAGTTTATACTACAACCTAAATCGATAGTCATGTCCATAACTATCTCAGTTGTGAATACCATTCATATCATATAAGGAACTAACAATGTAATCTTCTATGTGATTACTAACACACCACATTGTCTACAATATAAGATAATAGGACATTTAGCATACAATCAATCATAAAGAATGCAACAATGTGAAAACATTTATTTCAGTCAAATGGAAAATCGAATAAATACAATCTAAAAGCTCAAATAAAAGTTTGCAGTACTTATACTCCAACATCCCCTCACAGGCGTTTCCTGTCACAGGCAGGGTTATCTGGTTCGCCCCTAACAGGTAGTGTTATAACTTATTTTCCCCTCACAGCCACTGTCCCTCACAGGAAGAGTTAACTGAATGCCCCTCACATGAGAGAATACTCATAAAACATACCTCAACCATAACATCATGCGATTATCAAGAATAATACATAATATAGAAATCCCCACCTTAAAGCGGATGAATGAATATACTAATGTCTAAATAGAATGCTCAAGGGCTCGACTCCTCGAAGTCTATAATTTAAGAAATTTAAATTTTATAAATAACTCATTTTTCTTTAGGTAAAATAAATTACCAACTTAAGTAAAATTCATTTATCTTTAAGGCTTCTTGACTTAATTAATAAATTAATATAATTTTGAAACTCTCGGCTAAGGGTAAAATAAAGCTCGAAAAAAGGTTCTCAAAACTAAAAAATAAGGTTCAGCCCGAAAATGGGTTCAAAGCTCGAACACGGGTCGATGGCACGCGGTTCGGTGCTGGTTGAATCCGGCTCCGGTCTAACCATTACTGGTACTGGTCGTCTAGTTCGCAGATGGTCCCAGGTCGCCTGGACGCTACCCTGCTCGATGCAGCTCAGCACTGTCTAGTACGCTGCGGCTCGCCCCTACGCCCGGCCTTAGGGAGACTTAGGTCTTTGCCGCGGGGACCTTGCAACTGGTATGGGTCGCTGGGATATGTCACAAGTGCTGAGACCTGGGACCGCACGCTATCCTAGGAAGTCACGTGTATACTTGGCGATGATGGGCTGCTGCTCGTGCACGGGACAATGGGTCGTCTGCAGCACAACACGGGGCAACCAAAAGTGCTACGACGCGACACGATGCGCGCGGAACGCTGCGACGCGCACGGCCCGCCAGCGACACGAAAGCTGCCAGCAGACGCGGAACGCTTGCGCGTGGTGTATCAGCGTCGCCAGGGTCGCGCTTCTCGGCTACACGAGCAACAACTGCTGCCCGGCACGGCTCACGCCTGGACTCGGCACCACCAGTGTGTTGCGGCTTCTCGACGAGGTACAAGCCAGATGGCTTGAGGGTTCAAAGGATTTCAATAACATAATTTCATAGGCTCTAAAAATTCATGGTTTCAAATAAATTAAGACATCAAATATGGGGTGAAAAATACTCAAAGGCATGGCATGCTTAGGCTTAAATTCCCTTGGCTTAATGAACATAAAAACTCAAGGTTTTTCTCAAGGCATCCAAGGCTAAAATTTCATGGC